TGGAGAAGGAATGAGGCTAACGACGGCTTCTGAACTCATGCCTTTGGAAGACTGTGATTATGGGAAGGAGCTGAACTTTTAGCTTGCAATGATCATTGATAAAATAAACATGCAACCATGTCGACAGGTACGTAGTCTCAACTAGGACTACTCAAACGAGCTGGAATTCGGAATCCAAGAATATCCGGGATCGAAAGCTTCGCAAGTCTCTCACTGTCCCAGATTAAAAGTAAAATAGAAAAACAGAGCCCCGACCCTCCGTTTTTTGAGATGATTTCTAAATTCAGGGCTTCACAGAAATTCAGTTTAACAGAATGCCTTTCGAATACCACAGATGATTCATACTGTATGGTAGGTAATATACACACAACATATGCAAAGCCGGCACGAATATAGGTAATAGAGGGAAGCATGGCGCGATCATGGTATATTTCTGAACTTGCAGAGGAGATGAGAAAAAGCACATCAAAGTTTAGGCTGATCAGATGTTGCTAATGACTGTACTGTAGGATTCTCATGTGGATACGGTCAGAGATAGCCCGGGTTGGTAGGCAAAGCTGGTGCTCATGAGCCTGGAAGCATAGGTATTTGGAATAAGCCATATAGGGACGTATTTACTGCGTTTAGAGTGAGTGTGCAGTGATGAGTAAAGTGAATTAGCGACCCTATTCGATGGTAGCCACATAAGCACTGAATCGCTGAGCGACGGCGCCGATGAACATGTGGTGGGCTAATTCGGCGGTCCAAGTTCGTGGAACGTCGACCCAGCAACACGGAACCTTCGCTAGCGGGCCTCTAATGGAATACGGGAAACGAGGAATGAATAAGTTTCTTGGAACTCCACGGGTCAGCGCTATTTCGGAGGGCTACTAAGTGGCTCCACCTAGGCCCTTAGTTGTTGTAATTGGGGTATAGTTGGTCTCAAAAGTTTTACTATCAGAAACTGATGTATTTTCAAGGACTGTAAGTGCTCGGTTCTTCAACGGCATACTCGAAATGGGAGAGGTCCCATTGTTTGCATATCCGGGGAAGCGTCTTTTACTTTACTATCTTGTAGGTGCTTAGACATTTTAATGATTAGTCCCAATTCCTATAAGAGTGGAGTGAATAGTTGAATCCCATGGTAAAAACTCTCACAAACCGCTAGTTTGTTTTGTTTAACGATCAGATAGAATGGATGTGGTCCCCCACAGTTCAGAACCACTACCCCTCCTCTCTTCCAGAAGGTACAGCAAAACATCAAGCCTTGGAGAGGGGTTGAAGTGAGTGCGAGATGAAGGGTTCGGTCACAGTGGAATTTATTTGGAAAGTTTATGTATAGCTGACTATCTGTTAGTTCCCACTGGTTAATGTACTTTCGAGGGTGATGAATCAACGACCTCTGAAATAATGAGTGGATATCAAGTATATGGCGCAATTTGATGGGATTGATCGACAAACAAAATTCATCACATTTCTTTCTTTCTACCATAAAGCTATGCCTCTATAGCATCTTTCTCATTTTTGCTTTGAATGACGTCGGACTCGTACTTGTCGTAATTGCAGACAAGACAACTAGCCTTTTGAATAGGCACTTTTTGAAAATGTGAATTGAAATGAAGTTCACGGCTATTTCATATGCGTTCAAAGCTTCTTTTGAAATTATCCCAGGTTTTTNTTTTTCCGCCTCTTGAATTGTGATTTTTTTAAAAGAATGTGTCTGGGTATGATCCTTTCGTTGTTACACTTCTGCTTATTTGATCTGTGGACTTTGCTCGCTATCTCCGGTTGGTTCGACTAGAACTACACAAAGCTGTTGCGCCTGATTTTCTCAAAACAGATCGTCTTTAATCAGCAAATCCTTGCGGGTCCAATGAGCTGCGTACCTTTGGCTTTTTTCAATGGGATCACATCTACTCACCTTTTAATAAACTCTGATTTCTCCGTCTTTCTGTGCTTTTTTCCAAGAGCCATCCTTAAGCCTTGGGGACTCCACAGTGTGTTGACTTGTGCATTTTCAATGGAAACGCTTCTATTCCAGAAATGTCAAAAATTGACGAACTTTCCGTAATACATGTGAATTCGGCAGTGGAAGGTATGGTTGGAAGCAGGGTATGGATGATAAGATGGAATCACAGCGGGTCCCTTCTTGCCAGTTGCGGAGATGATAAAACCATACGTATATGGAAGAAAATTGATCGTACGTCCTCTTCTCTTTTGACTCAGTCGAGCTTCATACTGTTTACCAGTTATCCCTACTGCTTAGGGGTAATCGGTGACGTTCTACTATGCAGGTTGGTGTAATCATTATGGTTTTATTCTATCCTTCTGGTATTCCTTTGAAGGTTTACCTTACTTGGAATGCGCCACGACCATCGATGACAGCCACTCGAGGGCTGTTCGTTGTGTAGAGTTCTCTCACTGCGGTCGATACATGGCATCGGCAGGCTTCGACGCTTGTGTTGTCATCTATAGCAAGGAGGAGTTCGTTGTTTGTTACTATTATTCCAATTCTAATTGTCTGTGGAGTGAATGTTTGTCTTTTTTGAATAAGGCATTCCCAAGTCAACCATTTTAAAAGGTTTTTCTTGATTTAGGGGCGAGTTTATGGAATCAAACAAGTTGGAAGGACACGAAAGCGAGGTGATTTTTGAGTAGTTGGTTCACTTAATTTGAATCACCCGGTTTTTTCTCACTACAAGATGTTGTTGTTGTTTGTTGTTGTTGTTGTTATTGTAGATGTTGAAGTTGTTTTACTACAAGATTTATTTCTTGGATTTTGCTCCTTAGGTCAAATGCTGCGCATTCTCACCATCAGACGAATTTCTAGCTACCTGTAGTCGCGACAAAAGTGTATGGTTATGGCAGAGTGAGTGATTTGTCAATACCACTTCTATAGATTGTTAAAATACTGATTTTGCAGTGGATGAGGATGAAGATTTTCAAATATCGTCTGTATTGCAGTCTCATACTCAAGATGTCAAGTTCGTCGCATGGCATCCATCTGAAGAGGTATACTTTAGAGCGACTTTCACTCATCTCATTCAAGTTCAATGCAGTAGTACCTTATTTTTCTTGGAGACAAATTTATCACACTATTATAGACCTTCAATTTTATGGTATTTCGGTTTTATTCTTTACTATTACTTGCTACAGTTTTACTAAGTTTGTTTTGATTTTCATTTCGTTTCGCCTAGAACTCTTCCTACGGGGGGCTGTTTACTTCTTAAACCAAATTTCTGTGGCAAACTTATGTGTGGCTACTGGCATGCATTTTGGGCGCTCGATTGTGGAGCATCTAGTTTACTTGCAAATGGCTCAATAGAACTTAGTGTTGCACAATATTACCGGGTCCTTAAGGGGGAGATCCTTAATAAAATTTACTTGTCCTTGGCGTGAAAACTCACTGCGACGCATTAACTTCTTCAATGTTCTGTCTTAGTCGTCATCTTGGTTGCAGCTGAATTGATGAGGACTTTCCTCTGCTGATTATTCCTGTCATAATAAACTTAATCTGAACCTCATCCAAGTTTACACGAAGGAGCTGTCAAAACGCTATCATAAACATTTTTATTCAAATAAAACAGCAGTGATTGTGCTTTTGTTACCCTGATTTAGACTTAATGACTTTTTTGATACCTCATCGGCTGTGTGGTTTCTATACTGTTGGTATACTTTTAGTTGCTTGTCTCCTGCAGTTACGATTCGTCCCTAGTATTTTATAAATTTGATGGTGAGGACTGGATAATTCAGCAGAAGATCCCAGAGGTAAGCAAATGTCAGACATTATATCCGCTTAAGGTAGCATGGATCTCTGCTTCACAACGCTTACATAATTTTTTCTTCAATTATTCATTTTCAAAGGTTAAACCAATGTGTATAGGCCCACAAAGGAACAGTATGGTGTGCCGCGTTCGACTCTGACGGTCACCGCTTTATAACAGTTGGAGAAGATCACGTAGTGCAGGTTTGACTGCTTTTTTCTTCATTTTGCTGTTCATGATTGAGATATTTGATTGCTTTTTCGTGTTGATGCCCATCTTCTTATAATATTATCGTGTTTGTCTGGTGTGAAAGCTTGACAGGTAATATTATACACTTATTTGAAGGGTTGAAAAATACTCGTGGGGCGTATATGGTACCTTAAAATTTGGTTAAAGCTGAAGAGGGAGTGAGAGTGAATGCGAGAACTCTATTTGGTGGTTTACATGGTTAAGAACTCTCTATGAATGAAATGAAACTGCTATGATTGCAGATTATTCCATCAGGTTTTATGGGAATGATATTTTAAAATTGTATATGATGAAGTGCTTATTTACCGGCAACATTTCTCTTACCTTTAGTTATGGCGACGTTCCTCTCCGCAACAATCTGCAGTCAATGATAAATGGCAGTCTGTAGCGAAATACCTAGTAGAGGATACCAGATTACCTTTGTACTCTGTTTCATGGCATGTAGTGACTGGCCTTATTGCTACCGGCGGTGGCGATGGAATGATCCGGTAAGTTTGCAATACTAATCTCTATTGTCAAAAGTTTGTTCCTCTCGAAGGCGAAAAACTAAGCTAAATCTCACAGTCATATCTCTACTTTCTTTGAGATATCTCAATACGAGGGTTGCCTTTTATATTTTGAGATTTGGCAATACTAGTGTAGCAATCTAGCAAATGACACCACTGTCTTGAAGTTTGACTATTTTGAGGATATGTTGCGAAATTTGAGCGCGATTTGTGTTGTTTACACTAAGTTATAAGATTTTGTTTCGACCAAGTTATGGAGTTGAACCGTGGGCATTTTCGCGCGACGCCGCGTGGGACCGGCGCGCTTTTCGTTCACTCGCGACTGCAGCCCACATGTGGACTTCATGGTCCAGCATGGCCATTTTTTGAAGTTTATAAGAGAAAATTATGAGTTTCTAGGAATGTTCCTTCGAATGGATTTGGTAAGAATGCCCACATTGAGTGATTATTGATCCTTATTATAGAACCGGCACTCGTTCTAGTGGTCATTCAATTATAACTTCAATCATTACCAGAAATCGTTTCGGGGAACTTTTAGTTGCGTTGCGTTAGGAGCTTTGCGTTTAATCGATGATAGCGAAAATGCTAATGACGTCTGTCTTTTAGAAATATCTCATTTTTTTGAAGTTGTTCAGCAAACGAAGAATTCACCAAGGTAATAATGTACCCCTTCGAAAAAACACCTTTACAATTGTAAAATTAGAAGATATTCTAGGGCCACGCTGTATGTAGTTTCATTCAGGCCTGATGTGATGTTTCGAGAAGAAGAATTGAAAGAAATTAGAAATTTAGATGAATAAAACGAAAAATACAACTGCAGTCCACATGTGGACTGCAGTTGTATTTTTCGT